AAACTGTCGAGTATCTACAACAGTGCAACTTCTGGAAATGTTATGCAAAGTAATATTTTACACGGGTACAGAAGAGGAGAAAAAACAATTAATGTAAGTGAACAAACAAATTATATTGTTATTAACGGTAGAAGTTCTAACTTTCTGATTGGTTTCTATACTCGGCCGTGTCACTTCAAACTGGCTGTTGGGGGCAACGAACAGGATCAGATGTCTACACCAGACAAAGCAGGATCAAGAAATTGATCCAGAAATGTATATCCCACTTTGAGGTTGCACAGAGGACCTGGTGCAGTACCTGAAAATTGTTTAGATTATCTTTGTCGAGAATCATTTCAAATAAACATTCATAGGAGGTGACTGAAACTTTCACTAACTTGTATAAGTTTATTACCCCTAGAAATAAACGTAACCAAACAGACACAGAAATAGGGGGCCAAGCAAGTATAATCTTAATAAGGATAACCCTTGAAGGATATAAACCTTTGTATGGGAGTAGAAGATAGGTGTATGTTTACGACGTTCATCTGGTTTAATATCGGGAAAAAGCTACCTACGTTAACTTTTTAAACCCATAATTTTTTGCACATTCTACCAGAATTATTTTCATGATTTCATCGGGGGTACCCACGAGAAGCATTGTTGAGTAAATAACCTCAAACATCTTCCTCTCTGCTTTGGTTTAAGAGTTAAAAATACCTTTGTGAAAATTTAGCAAATATATAATTTGAACATGCTTGAGTCAAGATAGACATTTTCTATTTTTTATAGGAAGTGTTAACAGTATTAATATTTTACCAATCTACTCGATAAGGGGATTAATAAGTTCAATGAATGATTAAAGAAAAAAAGTTACTTACAAATGCATAAAGATCCCCTTAATGATATCATTAGTATTATATGTTATTGTTAAGTTATATTTTGTTTACTTTTATATTCTATTAATGTAAATAGTTTCTCCTGTTGGTTCCCTTTATTTTTACCAAGCATTTGTTTTGTTCTTCTATAAACTTGCAGACTTCTTTAATAAAGATGTTCGTGGCATTTCTAATGTCCATTTTCTTTTTGTTAGATGTCCAATTGCAGTTAAGAGATGCGTAGTTCAAGTAGCTTTCTTATTGATAGTTGATCTCTTGATCAGTTAGACACCTCTTATTTCTGTAATATTCTTGTTTTCCTTGCCAATTTATAGTTTAAAAAAACTGAAAACAAAATGGAACAACAATAAAAAGAATAAAACTTTTAACGTCAAATCTGTTAGTTAGCTTGATGGTACCTTTAACTCTGTCTGTCATTTTCTTGACTTTCAACTTGCTTTTATATTGCTTTTATTAAGCCTTGTGTAGGCTTTCATTTGATTTCAGTCTACAGATACACGTGTAATTCAGTGATTCTTCTATAGATGTTTCTATCCAGCACAAGTTACAAGACTTTGTTGTTCCATAAAGAATTGAATTATGATTAAAACTGTTTGATTTGCTTATTACCTCAGGCAAGATGTGGTTTATTGCAGCCTAAAGAATATCTATTTATTCTTTTTTCTTCTTCTTTTATTATTGTTATTATAAGACAGCTGAGGTACAGAGGTCCTCTGGGTTTGCTAATTACCAGACGAAACTGATGTTAACAATTTTCATTATTATTTCAGTATTCCTTATGATTTAGTTGGTGATTTTGCAACTTGTTGATATAGGTGAACATTTAATACATTTCTCTTGCCTGTCAGAGCTGTCAGTCTTGGTCCCCCCCCCAGTAAATATTTGATGGATGCATTGGTAGAGATTATTAGAGCATTTACAAGAACACAACTCCTTGACTCAAAAAGAGTTTTAGTGTGATTGGTAACATAGTGGTGTACTCTGCCATGTTCAAGATTACAGGAACTTTGGAGAGGGAATTGAGTTTATGAATAAGAGACTTCAGATTCAACAAAAGTTTTGACAACCAACAGAATTTTTCTTGGTGATTTGAGGTATTATTTTGGTATTTAAATGGGAGGTGTTTGTGTATGTAAATGATCTTTAATTCAAAGAAAGAAAAGTAAACATCTTTCTGTTAATTTTTCAGGACAGTTGCTAGAGATATTGGTGGATCTGATCCCGAGAGGATGTCGGCTCCCAACGTTGAACTGTACGTGAAGCAAGTATTTGCTGATACTTCATGTATAAAAGTTGACATAATCTCTGACGAACAGGTCATTGAGAAGGAATACCCGCTGCTAGCTGCAGTAAATCGAGCTGCTAAATGTAAGTTGTTTTAAAGCTTATAAGCTTTGTTTTATAAAGCTTGGTTTCTATGGATGTGAACATTTTTAATAATATGAGTTACTGAGGAAGAAACCTGAACTCTCCATAAGTGTTGTTGTATATTTCGGGGGTGTTTTACAAGTTTAATGATGATCTAATATAGATCTTGCCAATAACCTTCCTGTAAGTAGAGGTGTGACATTAACATTATATAGTCTCAATAGATGTGTAGCTTTTCAGAAAGGCCCGACATGGTCAGGTGGTTAGAAAGCTCAACTCGTAATCTGTGGGTCGTGGGTTCGAATCCCCATCACACCAAACATGCTTGCCCCTTTCAGCTGTGGGGGCATTATAATGTGATGGTCAATCCCACTATTTGTTGGTAAAGTAGTAGCCTAAGAATTGGCAGTGGATGGTGATGACCAGCTACCTTCCATCTATTCTTACACTGTTAAATTAGGGAAGGCTAGCGCAGATAGCCCTTGTGTAGCTTTGTGTGAAATTCATAACAAACAAACTTTTCTAAAATCACTGCCAAGAAGAGGTAACCAAGCTAAAGGGTTGAAATGGATATTGGACCACAAACAGTAGAATGAGGAAAGCTGGAGATGTGTGCTCTTTACATGTGAAACCAAGTTAGAATTGTTCAGCAGCTATTCATGATGGTTTGTTCTATGAAGAATGGTATAGTCAATGTGCCGCATCTACAAAATTGATGGTACCCTAACTGCTGATAACTACAGGCACATTCTAACCCATCATAACATTTCCTCAGGTAAATTACTCATAAGGCATTAATTAACCTTCCAGTAAATCAATGATCCCAAGCACATGGGAAGTGTGGTGAAGATAATCCTTTGATCATAAAGAGGATGATATAGTACTAACAACCTCGGTTTTCCCTCCCTAAAGTCCCAATCTGAACATTCTTAAAGCTGTATGGGCTTGTGTAAAATCTGAAAAGGCCAAATGGGACAATTTGAACAATATTCTGTAATCATACATTAATAAACTGTATGGTAGCATGAAAACAAGGTGTAAGTTTCTGTGTAAAACAAATAGTTTGCATACAAAAAACTAGTACAATGTTCAATCTGTTTGCTTTCCTTTTGTACTTTTGGTGGTAATGCGTCTTACCATTAATAAATTCACTGCCAATACTTGTTGTATGTAACTAATGTATGCTGATCTGTTGTTTCCTTAACTGTTATAATGTATCATTTACTCTTAACGACATTGTAACTTTCACAAGATGAACAGAATATGTTCACAAATTGAAATTGCCACGCGCAGATTTCTACAAATGACCGGACTAAACTTAATTTCTAATTCAACAATATAATCTCAACATGAGTTAGGATAAACAACCAGAAAGAGAAACCTAACTTTATAAGTTATCACTAAATCACCGTAATGAAACAACACATTCAACAACAACTCTGATTAATTACTATTTACAACTTTTAAGTTGTAACTCATATTCAAGTGATATTCAGTTGAAAATGTCTTGTTTATCAGTTTCAGGTCTTTTTTTTCTTTTTTTTCTGTCAGATGACAATCCCCTAGTGGGCTAGCACTAAATCAACAGATTTCGGTCCATAAATCTGACATTTGATGTCCACATGTTGCACACAGATAGCCCATTGTGTAGCTTTATGCTTAGAAACAACAACTATTACATGACAAGATTACAACTAAACCTATGAGGACTATTGGCCAAACATCTGATCATGTTATTTCCATTGTAATAAAGATCTTGACACCGGTTAATGTCGGTAATTTTCATTTGTTGCAACAATATGGTGACAGTTAACCCTAACGTTGGTTAGATGGTAGAGTGAAAACAACTTAAGACAGATCGACTACCTGTTGGAAGAAAAGATACATAAAAAGCAGAGATAATGATGAACAAAAAACAACAACAACAACAATGGAATACTATCTGGCAGTATGTATAATACTGTTTAGTAAAACTTTTCTTAAAGACCAAATTTGTTTTTACATGCACATGAATACAATGTGTAGAATAATTGTAAAACTTCTGTAGATGTATCCTCAAAACCTTACCGTGTTTTTCTATTCTAAGTAAACTTGGAAATTTGTGTTTGTTATAGGCACTGAACGACACCGTGCCAGAGTTATCTTTCTGGAATATGTACCAGAAGGTCCAGTGGAAACGACCGTTGTGTTAGTGGGAAAGGTAAAATTTAAGCAGCTAGTTATTAAGAAAAAAAAACAAACATATTTGTTAATTTTATTCCTCTGCTATTACAAAAATTTTCTCATTATTTTCCTTACTATGTCTAGGTATTATTGTTGTCCTCTGAAAACCATTAATTATTCTAATGCATGCGAGTGTTTGTGCGAGATTTTTGCATTTCGATTAACATTAATTTTACAATGGTTGAATATGAGATTTTGTCACATATGGCTTTTTTTTTAAGATGTTTTATTGTCTATTGATTTATTTTAAACAAGTGTTTGAGAAATATGCTAAACTGGTTAAATGTTCTATGGTGTTGGATACTAATGTTCTAAATATTGGAGCAAAGAAATTTTCTGTGCTTGTTTGTGAAAAAAGGAAATTGGAATCAGTTAAAACTTGAGCACATTTTAAAAGTTAAGATGTAACTTTTTTGTTGTTTTTCCCGTACAACCAGAACTTTCCTGTTTCTAGGGTGTTACCTACGACACTGGTGGTGCTGACATTAAAGCTGGAGGGGTTATGGCTGGAATGCATCGTGACAAGTGTGGAGCTGCTGCAGTTGCTGGATTTTTCCAAGTAAATATATGAAATTAAATACAGTTAACTGGCACAAGCATTACAAGCCACAAAACTGTTATGATTTAAGCTGTTAATTTTTTGAAGAAAGGTAAAATTTAATACAGGTGATATTTGAACAAATAATTTTGACAGATGGAGTTTATATCTCCTCTCCAGTCTGTGTTGGTTATTAATTTTTCAGTAGGTAACAGTGAACTTTTATAATTAAGAACATCGTTTGAGATCTTGTACGTTTAAATATTGTAAATAGTAAGGTTGCTTAACAAACATGGTTTAGTAAAACATCTCTAGCTTTTCCCACAGCAAGATTTAACTATATTTATTTATGGCTTTCCTGTGTACAGGAACCTTAATTTAGAAATATTGAGTATGGGTGGGATTAGATAGAATAGTTATTGGTGTAAGGTCTTGATACGTTAGTCGAAACGCTGACCTTTAAAATTTCTGATCCAAAAAGAAAAAATAAGAGAACAGAACAAATGTGGTGATGGAAGAAGATCATTCAGAGATAATAAATAATTTATGGTGTTTTTAAGGTTCTTGCTCGTCTGCAGCCAAAAGGCATAAAGGTTATTGGTGGAATGTCAATGGTTCGTAACAGTGTTGGGCCAGGTAAGTGTATAATAATTTGTGAAACTTGCACATTAATTACTGTTACTACATTTTCGTCAATGAAAATGACGAAATCGTCAACTAAAATTATCTTAACTTTCTATTTTTCTAAATAACTATTAAACAATAGCATGTTAAGTTTTGTCGAGTCTTGGGTCATTTTTATAAGTGTGTGTGTGTGTGTGATTTCATTGAATGTGTAAATTGAAGATTTTTGTTAGAAGTGGTAACACAAGACTTGGAGAAACTTTGTACTTGGATGAAAGATGCTTAGTTTTGTATAACCATGTTCATTCATTATCAGTGAGGGGAAGCTGTTAAAAGAGTTTGTTTGCCGCTTTGATATTTATTTAAGACTTTTTCACAAAAGTCAAGTTTTCTCCCCCCCCCTCTTTAATTTCAACTTTAAAAGAATTATACCCAAAACACCAGTTTGAAAACCCATGTAATGAAGGGGCTGGGTTTTTAGTACAGTAATGTAAAACTGTAATTCTTGAAATTTGACTTATGATGAGAAATATGAGGAAAATTATTTTTAAATAATAATTTTTGGAATTGGAACGTCAAAAATGTAGGTTTAACAAATATCCAAAGTCCTACATTTTTACGAGGATCAAACACTGTCCTATCTAGCAATTTTTTGTATATATTGAAAAGACAATAAAATTATTTTATATTATCAGAACATTGTTTGATTTAATACTCAAAATAAATTCACATAAATTCCAAGTCATTTTATGTCCATTAATTTAAAAAAGAAATTGTTTTTGTAGACATTTAAAAATACACAGCAGATCAAGCGCAAATTTTAACTTTCTGTATTTTCTCCTTTATGCTTTACAGTAATCTTTACCTTCTTCTTACTTTAACTTTATTTTGATATTTGTAACTTTGTACATAAATAGTGACACTGATTTTAAAAAGGGGTTAACTCATCTTTTATAGTTGGAATGTATTGATATTAGAATTGAGTCTTGACTGTGTTTGTGCATTGATTCCTTGGACCCTAAATAAACTAATATATTCTGTTTTAGAGCTTATGAACTGATATAAGAGTGGTTTTTGTAGTTTCCTTCATGCCGTTAAATGTTTAATTGTGTGGAAATGATGTTGTTAGATTCGTATGTGGCAGACGAAATTGTAACTTCACGAGCTGGTGTGCGAGTCAGAGTAGGAAACACTGATGCTGAAGGGAGGATGGCAATGGCTGATGTTCTGTGCCATCTAAAAGAGAAGGTTAGTCTTGGAGAAAATGTGAAAATTTCCGTTTTTTTTTAATTTATTCTTTAATTAAGTTTTTAAATCTAGATGTAGTTAAAATGTACAACGTAAACTTTTTTTCCATTTTTCCAGGCAGAAAATGAACCCGATCCACATTTCTTTACCATTGCCACTTTAACTGGGCATGCCTGTTTATCAGTTGGAGATGGATATTCAGTAAGTATTTCAATTATTATTTTAAAAACAAATTTTTGTTGTTGTCGCATCTCTCTGTTTAATAGATGTGAAATGAATGTTTGTTTGTTTGTTTCTATGATTAAAATGATAATTTTTGGAGTTTAAACAAGTAATGTTTGTGCATAACACTTTTTCCAGGTGTAGTAGGTTGCAACAGTACCAGCAAATTTGGTATATCGAAAAAGATTAAATCTCCGTTTTTTATTGTCCAGTACGCTGTAAACTTATGGAGGAGTGGGTTATGAATATATTGTGTGTTTATCTTAATGTATTCCTATAACAGTTATTCTGAATTTATTGTTTGTTTTGAATATGTACAGGTTTCACATAATAAAAAAAGGAACAATCTTTATTAAATGTGAAACACAGACACTCAGTGTGCGTACTTATTTTTAACTGTGATACACGGACACTCAGTGTGCATACTTATTATTAAATGTGATACACGGACACTCAGTGTGCATACTTATTATTAAATGTGAAACACAGACACACAGTGTGCGTACTTACAGTTTACTTAAAAACTTTGGGCCATCACTTCTATTGGATGTTCGATTAATATCATCTACCAAATTGCCAAATACAAGATTTCTTTAGATTCAAAGAAAACTTGTATTTACCTTGTGCAACATACGCTACCATGCGACTGGTTATTTTCATTATACATAGGTAAGGCTGTAGCCTCTAGATAATCACCTGATCAACCACCGAATGACATTTCTCTGGTCATCCTTACACAAGATAAGATTAAGCAGTGTTCTCCAAGGTCAGTAAAAAAGGTATTAACTACTTAGAGAATAACAAAGGAACAAAAAGTTCTTTATTTCAAGTTACCTGAACAGTTTTCTTGATCATGCTTTTACACTTGTGTCCAGTCTTGATATTCTGGATAACATCAACTCTGTTAAGTAAGGTCAAGTATTATGCCATTAAGGGTATTGGGATAAAATCTCCAATTACTAAGCAGACCTATCTTGTGAAGCTCTGCAGTTAACAGCTTATTCAGCTACCTGACCTATACCACATGAACGAGCCTCGATTAGTGACGTACGTAAAATTTATAGCTCTTCACGTACCCTCTATACCTTGTAGTTTACGTTCTAAAACATGTCTGGAATTAATGCTAATGATCTTAGTATTATTGTATTTGCTGATCAGCATGTTAATTGCTTGTTCATTTTATGGGAACTGTCATTTGATTTGTGTGTTTTTTTCTCAGTAAATAGTTCCTTGAAATCCACAGTCTATTTATTGGCTCAAGTTACTTGAGGCTACTGTAGACAGTCTTGTACTTGTGTGTAGGAGGAATTGTCATAATATCTGTACACACTTGAAAGGTACTAGACAATATAAAGAATTTGTATATATGCGTATGCATTTTTTATAGTCTCAATTTAACCGAATATGCATAGTGTTAGTTCATTGTACTGACTCTGTCTCGAAGAAGGGATGTTGACTGTACTTCTGAACTTACTAAGTGTATCTACAAATAATGTGGCAAGCTTTTGGTAAAATGTACAAGTCTGTTGTACGCATAAAATCAAATGTTACAAAAGTATTTCTATCCAAGATATGTCCGTGAATTTACAACGTCGGTCTGACTCGGACAAGTCTGAGTGCAAGATGACGTTCATGTGAAGAATCAAGTTAACAACAACAACTTTTGTCCATCGTACAGTTTACATAATTTCTGGAACCTCCAAAACATATATCTGTATTATTTTTTTTAGTATTCCTGTATATTACATGTTGTATTTACTCTCCTCTACCAAGAATGTTTGTTAAATCATTAATGTAAGAAAAAATGAATAGTTGATAAGTCTCGCATCAAATAGATAATACTATGTTGAATGGCACTCTATGTAAGGTTGTGGCATTTGCACATTCACGTAGTTAAACTAAAAAATAAATGAGGGAAGAATAGCTACGTCCACTCCTAAGATGACTCGGTCGTGAATGGTTTAATAACTCGAAATAGAATTTAAAAGTTGCAGCAGTGAGAAATAAAATGTATCTTTCCTAAGAGGCCCAGCATGGCCTGGTGTTAGGACAATTGAATTGCAAACTGAGGTTTGCGGGTTTGAATCCTGCCCCCCAAATGTGCTCGTCCTTTCAGCCTTGGAGACATTTATAATTTGACAATCAATCCCACTGTTCAGAGTTGGTAATGGGTGGTGTTAACTAGCTGCCTTCCTTCTAGTCTAATACTTCAAAATTAGAGCAGGTAACTTTCAAGTAGCTTTGTTCAAAATTAAAAATGAATAAACTTTCCAAAGAATAATGCTTTGATAACAGAAAATTTGATATTCTCGGTGTAAGAACAAGTGTTAAGAGAAATTCTGAAAGAAACATTATCATCTAATATAAGAAAGTCAAGCTAAATTAGGCTGAATTTTGAAAAATCTGAAACTTGGCTACCATTGTAATACTTTCTTTATTTCAAGTTACAAGCATTCATTTTACTGATGTATAACTTCTAGAAGATTATTACTGAACAAAATTAAAATAAAATGTCTGTTTTCAAATTTTATGTATTTTCCTTGCAAGGATTATTATTATTAAGTCTTGTGAAAAATGTAAGTTTAATAAAATCTGTAATATCTACTATCACTTGCAAATCAAATAGTCCAGAATTCGTAAACAACTAACTATCAATAAATTCAATTTACAAAGAGCCATTTCTCTCTGAATGTGAAGTTTGTAAGTAGAGATTAAATAAATAAATAAATAAAAAAAAAAAAAAAACATAACCATATTCGTTGTTGCTCTTTTTATTGTGTGGTTTGTATCCTGAAAATGAATTGATTGTCAATAAGTATGGTTAATGTTTAAGGACAACAAAAAAGGTGTTCTATTCACTTAAAAACAAACTCCTTTTCTTCACCCACCACATTTGGAGACAACCTATATCAAAGGCCAACCACCCTGTTAGAAAAGAAACTGTCTAAACTAAAGGTGAATCCTACCCTGCCAAAATTTATATATTTGTGTCCCCTTGTCGTACTGTTCTCTCCATTTAAATCTGGAGAAGAGGTGATGTATCAGTACTTTAAGTTCCCCTAATAACTTTGACCAACTCGATTCGATCCACTTTCGCTATTTTATCAAGAGAAAACAACTATGGAGATCCTAACTTGTTATCATATGACAACCTTTCCATCTTGGTTATCACCTTATTCGCCCTCCTCCGAATACTCTCAAACATTTCAATGTCTTTTTATTGGGTAAGGAGCTCAAGACTGAACACAGATACTCCGAATGAGGCCTCACCAGAGATATACACAATGAAATGTATAATCTCTTTGGACTTGTATTCAATATTTCTGTACATTTAACTGGAAATCTTATTTGCCCTACCTCTAACAACAACAACACTCCTTGAATGGCTTAAGAAACAGCTCAACCAGAACACCAACACCCTTTTCCTCCCTAACACTGTTAAGGTGATTCCCATTAAAATTATACTCATAATTAGAATCATTATTACCATACGCATTGATTTTGATTAAAGGCAATTTGTCAAATGATGTTTGGCCGAATTCTGTTTTCTTCCCTCCAGCCATTTTTCAATCCAAATGGTGAGCTTATCTCTTCCCCCCCCCCCAACCCATACATAATTATTTGAGTAGTAATAGACTCGGAGCTATGGGATCACATGAATTAATTTTTCTTTTCTACAGCACTTGGAATTAAGATTTAAACTGACTTACTGTATTTCAGGTGCATTGTTTTGACGTGTTTGTTCATGTGCTATAAATATATCTATCTACAAATAATAAACCTCGTTTATTTTTAAGATTGTTTTGGAAAATGGACCAGCAAGACGAGCAGAGGTTGGAACTAGCTTAAGACAGGCAGGAGACCTTGTAGGAGATATGTTTGAAATATCTACAATTCGCAGAGAGGTTAGTGTATCTATACAAATTTAATAGAACTGTCTGTTGTCTGTAACTACTTTGCATGGTGTGGATGGATCTTCACCGAAAGTGGTATGGAGATTCATTAGGCTCATGGGTAGGTACACAAGTTTTCAATTTTGTGTTTTGCAGTGATTTTACTACCATAATCCCTGTATAAATAAACTGCTTAAACCAGTCTTTCTGTTTCATTGTTCTCGTGTATATCCACACTTTTTAAACCCACTCAGCAGGTGCAGTGTAACTGACTCCACTAAGGTAATTTTCACTCTTTCCCCACCTTAGTGGCTCAACAGTAAGTCCAAAGATTTGTAAAGCTAAAAAACAGGTTTTGATGCTCGTTATGCATACATCAAAGATGATCCATTGTGTAGCTTCACACTTAACAGACAATTTCACTGGTGACATTTTGCTGGAGGTGCACTGTACTTGTATTTGCATTTATGTTGCACTTTTTAAATATAAAATTAAAAAAGTTGTGAAGTAAATCAGTTTGTAATGGAGAAGAAAAAATGAACTCTATTATATTTTAACAAAAATCAGAGTTGTCTGATTGTTACAAGTTATTTTGAGAAACTGGCTAAACCAATTTTAATGAAACTTAGTAGAGGAACTCTGGCAGACCCCCCCCCCCCCCCCC